GAGTCGGGTTACCCACACATGTAAGCAAACTGAAGTAACGTGCATGCTGAGAATCATATTATCACTGATCTTTGGTGGCAGATTTTTTCGAAGTATTTGTAGCAAACATAGTAGTCCAAATGTGGCACGAGTGATTTTATAAGCACCACATATTAGCAGGTTCAGGATTGTTAATTTAGTTGATACTTCTTTCTATGGCCTTCTTACGCTGAGTAATCCGGTAATATTAAGTTTATACGTCTCAGCTAAAACTGATTTGCCGGCAGAGGTTGTTTCTGGTTAAATTTGTTAAGTACAGCATGCTGAATGTACGTGTATTTGTTTAGTGAGTTTAAGGAGTGTAACTTAAAGTCTTTTTCGGCCTCACTTTGTGCGCGCTTTCATGTCATGTTTCTTATTTCCACTGAAAGCGCGATCATAGTTTTACTTTTATTCATTATGCAGTACAGACAGCAATGCTTCACTCTGCCTCCATTTTTTTAAAATCTCATATCTCGGTTGCAGAAATGCCAAAAAGACATGAATATAGGACAGATTTTTTTCCAGTGTTGTTAGCACCCTTACTTATTATTAACTTCTACAGTTAAGGAAATTGGCTTGTGTTGCAACAACAAATGAAACAAACCTTCACTTACAGAATGTTGGGGGATGGTAATAGTGGTATAATAGTACTGGGGGAAAAATCCAGAACGAAGAAATCTGATCCCGGAAGGTAGTTGACTGTGGCAAAACCTATTTGCTCAACTAGCTGAGAGGTTATCAGCGATTAAACTTCACCCACATTTCAAGTTCATCTTAAAATTATATGTTGGCAAAGGTGAAGAGGATAATTTATAAATAGCTATACTGTGTGAGATAATATGACGAGTTGGAATGTACCATTGTTTCAGTATTAGGTAAAATTTATCGCGGCTTGAAGAAACGCATATGAAGCTCTTCTTTTATTTTAGATTTGATTGTTATAAACCATGCTATCATCTATTTATTAAAATTCAATCCTTTAGCCACAGAAAAAGAGAGAAAAAGACGTCACTTAGTGAAATTCTACAAACAAAATTAGAAGCCATAAATGTGGTGGAACAACGCTCATGGATTGGTGGTACGTTCCCCTTTAGTCGACCAGTAGTTGTCACAGGGTGACCTTGGTTATGCACTAACCACTCCCCAGGCACGCCTAAGGCCACACCAAACTGAAGCTAACCTCAGTTCTACATTTTAAGGTTTTTATTACATGCAAGTATGGGACATTGGTTTTACTGAAATTTTGCTTGTCCGTTATTTGGTTTATAATTGTGCCAGTATGTATTGATAAACCATCGATAAAAACAGTGATAATCGACAACTGAAATTTCCCAACCCTGACAAGGTGTCATCATTCAAATTCTTCCAAAGTGTAGCCTTTTTGCTTAGGACTTGAGAAAAACATGATATAAGTTTGTTTTCAACTGTGTAAATACAGTATGTGTTGACAAAATACCGAAAAAAAAAATCAGTGACTTATATAGCCGAATATACCCACTTGTTATCATTTAGATTTTCCAAAAGTATGAATCCTCTTAACCAGTATATGCCAAGAAACAGTATATATCCAACAAAACACGGTTCATCCCTCTGGCTGCCGGACTAAATCGAATACTGGGATTTAAAAAAAATAATTCAATTGGGTGCCCATGAACATAATTCACTCGCATTCATGAGAACTCCACTTGATTTCTTAGGGGAAAAATACAGAACGAAGAAATCTGATCTCGGAAAGCAGTTGACTGTGGGAAGAACTATTTGCTTAACTAGCTGAGAAATTATCAGCGATTAAACTTTACCCTCATTTCAAGTTCATCTTGTAAATAAATAAAGTTCTCTGTAGGCAAAGGTGAAGAGGATAGTTTATTAACTTAGATAAAAATAGCTATACTGTAAACATGATAAGACGAGTTGGAATGGACCATTGTTTCATTATTAGGTAAAATTTATCGCGGCTTGAAGAAACGCATATGAAGATAAGTCTTGAAGGTTTGTATGGTGAAGAAGTATAATACAAAGTAGGTTTGCGGTAGCACCATGTATGTATCTCTTTTGTGAGTATTTGCGGTTCTGAAAAGAGCCAGTGGTACTCGACGTTTCGAGCAGTATGCTCTGCTCGTCATCAGGAGAATGCCGGATACTGACTGGGAGTGGGGCTTAAGTAGTCTGGTGGAGGATTCTTGAGACAGGGATTAGTCCGGTGATGCGTGAAGGCAGGAAGTCTGGAGAAGGGATTAGGCTGGCTCGGTGATGCGTGGTGGAAACTTACTCAGATGTTGCAGTACTAAGTGGGTGTGGATGGGTAAACATGGGAAGAACTGGAGCAGGGTGCCAAGGGTATAGATGACCCATGAGGCGGACTAAGAAGGGTTGCGGATGGGGCGCCAGATGTAACTGATGGTGAAGCCTGTGTCTTGTGGAACTGTTCTGTTCTTGTGAATCTCAATTGCCTCACGAACACGGCGTGGATACCATTGCTCTATGTTGGCAATGAGATGGGCTTGTTGCCAGTGGACTTGGTGGTCTTCAGTGCTGGAGTGTTTGATGATGGCAGATTTCTCGAGATCCCCCCATCGTCCGTGGGCTCGGTGTTCATTGAGTCTGGTAGTGAGACCTCTGCCAGTTTCGCCAATGTACACCTTGCCACATTCACAGGGGATCCTGTAGACCCCTGGCTTGGTCTTGGGGTCTTGTTTGTCCTTGTGAGACTGGAGAGTTGCTTGGATCTTGTTGGGGGTGGTATGGAAGACTTTGATGCCATGGTGTAAAAAGATGCACTGGATCCGGTGGGAGGTATTGCCTATGTAGGGGAGGGTGACAGAACTAATGTGCCTAATGGGTTGACCTTGGGTATAGGGGACCCACTGGTCTGGGGAGGGTCTA